ATCCATGGTCAACTGGAAAATGGCTACGATGCTGGTGTTTCTCATTGGGCTACTCTACCAAATCCTTGGAAGACGATCCACCGGTTTGTCAAGTTTGTCAAGTATGATGTGTGCTCTAGGAACTCTATTTGTTTTTGGGAAGATGTGCAGGTTGGTGACACTGCTCTTAAGGACCTTTCCCCTCTTTATACTCAATTTCCTTGCATACAAAAGTAGTATTGAAAATTCCTCACCCCTCCTGTTACTCCTTTGCGACTGAGTTGGGATTTTGATTTTCATAGAGAGTAAAGGAAGAGTGTGCTGTTGTGACTAGGCTTTTGTGTTGCCTTGATATTGATTGTTTGGATTCCTTTACCTCAGATAGACGAGTTTGGCACCCTCGTCCTAAGGACTCCTTTTCGTGTGCTCCTTCCTCAGGTCTCTTTACCAGTCCCCTAACCTCAAGTGTTTACCTTCGAGGAAGTCTGGTGTAGGTCTGTTCCCTCTAAAGTTAATGCTGTTTGTTGGGAAGTGTTCTAGGGTAGGCAAACACCTTGGACAATTTTCAAAAGTGAAGATCCTTTCTGTGTTTATCCCTGTACCGGTGCATTCTTTGCAAATCTGGTGGAGAGGATTATTATCATTTTTTTTATTTCCTATTCTTTAGTTGCTGAATTATGGGATTGGTTCTTCTCTTTGTTTGGGTGCCAGTAGAATATGCCTTCACAGATACATATGTTGTTATTTGACTCCTCTACCTTTGTGTGGGCCAAAAAAAGGAGGAAGAATAATGTGGAAGTTTAAAAGGAAGAGAAAAATGCAGAAATTTTTCAAGAGAGGGAGAAAAGTTTACAAGAACTGTGTAATGACCAAGGTGATAGATAGGCTACAAACCTTGGACTGTTTTCATCAGTTTTCCTTTGATGATTTTTGGAGAAACTAGATTGTGGTGGCCAATAACAATTCTCAACAGGATGGAACACATCTAGAAGTACTTATATGGGTCAACAACATTAATCCATAGTTGTCAAGGCAACACCTAGGCGACAAGGCGCCCTTGGAGGCTTGCCTCGCCCAGTCGCCTAGCAGTTTTGTATTGTGTCTTATAAAATACTCTTAAATTGTTACTCTTTTGAGATTATAATTATAAAATAGACATTATTAAACAAAAATATTCATTTTTTGTGTTTATAAACTAATTTCTTTTTATTATTTTCTTATTTGTTAGGGTTTAATCAACACAAACATTGCTAACTTCTGTATTGAACCCTCAAAGACTTCAGAATTTGAACCAATAAGGGAAAAACATAAAGTTTTGTCTAATCAACACATTTCTTCCTCCACTTCTTCTTCTTCTTCTTCTTCTTCTTCTTCTTCTTCTTCTTCTTCTTCTTCTTCTTCCACCTTTTCTTTTCTTCTTTTCCTATTACAAAAATAGGGGTTCAGTCCCCATATTTTTTTAATTTTCTTTTCTTTCTTCTTTTTCTTCTCATAAATATGTTGATTTTCTAGACATAAACATGAAGTTTATAATTTTCTTAGGAAAGTTATGGATAGTTATTAAGGAAATATGGTTATGGAACCTAGGGAACTACCTAGGATATGTATTTTTCACTTAAAAAAATCCATCGCCTAGGCGACTAGGCAACAAGGCGCCCCCTGTCGCCTAGCCTCGCCTTGGCGCCTTGAAAACTATGAATTAATCTTGTACCAATCCTCTTCTAACCATATCCTCTTTGGTCAACCATGAGCTCTTCTAGCCCCTTCAATGTGTAACAAATTACTTCATCTAACTGGTGTAGTTGATGGTCTTCTATGCATGTGCCCAAACAATCTTAGTCTACTCTCTCTCATTCTATCACCTATTGGAGCCACTCCGAGATTCCTACTGATAAATTCATTCCTAATCCTAAGTTCCTATACTTTCTAGTTTTTCTAGTCATCCATCTTAGCATCCGTACTTCGACCACATTCATTTTCTAGACATGTTTCTTGACTGCCCAACACTCTGGTCCTTACAACATAGCTGGCCTTATAACTGTGTTATAGAACTTTCCTTTTAATCTAAGTGGATACTCACCTACCTCATAAAATTCCAGATGCACCTCTCCATTCTTCCCATCTTACTCCAATTCTTTGGCTGACATTGTCCTCAATCTCTCCCTTGTTATGAATTATTAAACCACAGTACCAGAAATGGTCACGTTGAAATATCTCTTGGTCTCCAATCCTAAGTGTATCTTGATTTACACTCCAATTGTTACTAAAGTTGCATGTCATATACTCTATTTTTGTCCTACTTATTTTAAAACCTCTTGTTTCCAAGGTATTTGTCGATAAGCTTAATTTTGCATTTAATCCTTCATTAGATTCATCATTTGAAACAATGTCAACCGCAAAACGCAAGCACCATTGAACATCCTCCTAAATATGTTTAGGCAATTCATCTATGATCAATGCAAATAGATAAGAGCCAAGTGTTGAGCCTTAATGAAAACCCATAATAACTGTAAAATCTAAAGTCTCTCCCACTGGTGTTCTAACATTGGTTGTTGCCGCCCCCCATACATATCCATAATTAGGTTTATACACCTATTTTGAACCCCTTTCTTTTCCAAGACCCACCGTATTATCTCTCTAATAATTCTATCATATGCCTTCTCTAGATCAATGAACAGCATATGAAGATCTTTCTTCTTCCCTCTAAACTTTTCTATCAATCACCTCAAAAGAAATATAGCTTTCATGGTTGATCTCCCTAGCATAAAGCCAATTGATGCCGATACACTTGTTTTAAGGTCGTAATCTTTGTTCAACTATTCTCTCCCAAAGTTTCATAGCGTGGTTCATAAGTTTAATCCTCACTATCTTATTAAATAGCTTGGTTAGCCATAACATGCCTACATCTCCCATACCTTTCCATGCTTCTACTGGAATCCCATCATGTCCTAATCCCAATGGCTTACCCTTCATATTCTTTAGTATCTCTTTTACTTCAGTAGGTCTAACTTTTATGAAAGTACATATTATTTTTAACACTACTAATATTGCTAAATTCTCCCCCGTTAGCACCCTCTCCATGTTATTCATCTAATAATTTTTCAAAACAGTTATTCCATCTTGTTTGATTTTATCATCTTTTACCATAACTCTTTGATCTTCATTTTTAATGCACCTAACATGTTTTAAATCTTTGCCCTTTTCTGTCTAGCTTTGCTAGTTTATACATTTCTTTTTTTCCCTCTTTAGTGCCTAATTTATGGTAAAGCTCATCATAAACCTTACATTTAATTCCATTCACTTTCTTTTAACTTCCTTTCTTATATATCTTTTTATTATTTTCTTATTTGTTAGGATTTAATCAATGCACACATCGCTAGATAGTATCTTGAACCCTCAGACTTCAGAATCTGAACCGATAAGCAAAGAACTTAAAGTTTTGTTTAATCACCATCTTCTTCTTTTCCTATAACAAAATTAGGGGTTCAGCCCCTATATTTTCTGAATTTCCTTTCTTTCTTTTTCTTCTCATGAATATGTTGATTTTCTATATTCTAATATGAAATTTATACTTTTCTTATGAAAATTGTGGATAATTAAGGAAAATGGTTGCTCGTTGCTATGGAACCTAGGGAACTAACCTAGGATATATATGAAACGAGGTGTCCTCCCTGTCAATAAAGGAAAATGGTTGCTCGTTGCTATGGAACCTAGGGAACTAACCTAGGATATATATGAAACGAGGTGTCCTCCCTGTCAATCTGTCACATATCTGCACCTTGGCGCCTTCAAAACTATGCTAGCATCAACTATGGAAAACAGTTTCTTAGATGCTATTTAAATATGAACAGAAGGTTCTTTACCTACTAACATTTACTACCACACATCAAATGAAAGATGAATATATGAACTCTGAAGTATACAGTTAGATACCAAATTGACCATACCTCTTTCTTCTTGATCTATTTCATAGGGGAAACCTGGCATAATCTTACAGTCCATGATACAAGAGAAATGAAAACCAAAGATGTATGCACAACTGAAACACTTGGTCTGTATGCCTCAACTCCATGGACCTCCAAACTAGAAAGAACTTAGGTGTCCCTTGTCAACCACAAACACTCTAGTCTTCAGAATATAACTTGCATACAGATTGGAATGTAAATTCATCTTGGGCATGTGATCCTGACCACCATCTTCTAGGGTAACCTGCTATTTGTATCAATCTTACCATTAACATCTAAATCTAAGAAGTGCAGGATCAACTCCATTCTCTTCACCCATACCAGAAGACAAGAAGAACCGCTTTAAAACCAACTAATGCTTAAGGTAATCATCTACGTGGACACAGAGCATGTCACCTATGGAAAAGAAAGTTGCTAAAAACCCAGCATGTAAGGGGACTTCACAAACCTAGATCCACTATTTTGTGCATCTCACTAGAAGCTGAATGGCATGGCACAGATGGCAAGGTCCCATTCACCCATTTGAATCCAGAAGACATCAAATAATTTTGTACAAAGATGAACGAAAATAGATAGACCCCATAGTTCATTACTAATGTCCTACATGTAAAACTCCAACCAAGAAAGAACCAACCTAGACCTTCCATAAAAAAATAAAAATACTGATAAAGGAGAACTTCTCTCTCAAAACATCCAATGATGATACCATAACAATCTTCAAACTTTTTACCAATCATAGAGAGCCTCACTGGCTTCCTTTTCTTATTCCTGATAAGTCTCACTGGCTTCCTTGATCCTCAGAAGAATCATGGTCCCTAGAATCAAACATTTTTGAGTTGTACAATCCAATGCTATGAAACAACCAGTTGATTGAGGGTAAACATCATAATTTGAGAGACATACATAATAGTCCACAATCACCCTCTCTTTAAAATCCAAATTCCAAATGAAAAAAAGGGGCAAATGTTTGAATACAGACACAAAAATTACCATCCAATACAAACTAATTAGAAAACAATTGCACATTAAATTCTGGCATGAGGCAAGATAACTTACTCATCCTCTAAACTCAGCATATCTGCAGCAGCTTTATTTTTGTTTAGAAACAGGTCCTGTTCGTTGCCAACCAAAAACAAAAGCCCTTAATAATTGAACAAGGAAAATTAAATTAACCAAAATTTGTTCAAACTGTAGAAAACAATGTTAGAGATCACATAAAATTCTGATCTTAAGTAATTATTAGAGATCCTGCTAAAGGTTGAAATTTCATTTCCTTAAATACCTGAGTTAAATGTCACACAATTTCTGAGTCATTTTTCAACATTACAATAAAATAATAAAAAACAACATTTTACAACATTCCCAAGAATTTACTTACACTACTCAGTCATATACACACAAATACATGTATTAAGGAGTCAAGGGCAGGGGATGAACGCACAACATCAGATCAGGAGTTTTTTTTAAGAAAGATAACAGACTTCATTGAATAAAAGGGAGGGATGTACATGAGGAGATGTACAAGGCCTTGCCAACAAAAAACAAAAGACAAAGCCCAATAGTTACTTGGCATTCTATTATCACTATACAAATAGTCCCTTCCTAACCCAGATTTTGCTATAAAGTCGGCAACTTGGCTTAGCTCTCTGCGAATCCATCCTAGAGTGCAAGCAAGAGGAAATCTCATGAATTTCTGCCAAAAAATTGGAGAACTTCCAAGGTCTAAAAGCCTGTCTAGAGACCCAACTTATGACATTCCTAGAGTCCCCTTCCACTGCAATTAAACTAAGGTGATGCATATTGGCAATTCTAAGGCCCTCAAGGAGGGCATGGATATCTGCTTCCACCATAGTTCTCAAGGCGCCAAGGCGAGGCTAGGCAACAGGGGGGGTGCCTTGTCGCCTAGTCACCTAGGCGATGGATTTTTTTAAGTAAAAACATGTATCCTAGGGTAGTTCCCTATGTTCCATAATCATATTTCCTTAATAAATATCCATAATTTTCATAAGTATAAACTTCATGTTGAAGTATAGAAAATCAACATATTCATAAGAAGAAAAAGAAGAAAGAAAAGAACATTCAAAAAATATAGGGGCTGAACCCCTATTTCTCTTATAGGAAAAGAAGAAAAGAAATGGTGGAAGAAGAAGAAGAAGAAGAAGAAATTAGTATATAAACACACAAAATTAGTAAAGAAAAAGAAGAAAATGTGTTGATTGGACAACATTTTATGTTCCTCCTTACTTATTGGTTCAGGTTTTGAAGTCTTTGAGGGTTCAATACAGCATTTAGCAATTTTTGTGTTGATTGAACCCTAACAAATAAGAAAATAATAAAAAGAAATTAGTAATATAAACACACAAAACGAATATGTTAGTTTAAAAATGTCTATTTTATAATTATAACCTAAAAAATTAAGAATATAAAAGTTTTTTACAACATGCTATAAAAGATTGCTTGGCGATTAGGCGAGGCAAGCCTCCAAGGGCACCTTGTCGCCTAGGCGTCGCCTTAACAACAATGGCTTCCACAGCATCATCTGTCTTGGAAGGACCACTACACACCCAAACCAAGTTACCATTAGAACTGTGTAAGAGGCCACCAAGTCCAGCTTCAGACAAGCCATCACAATTCCTCCTGAAACTTCCATCAAAGTTTAGAATATACTCACTCTCCTGTCTTGGAGTGATATTTGCAGGGGAATGGGGATCAGCTGGGGGAGTCAGCAACTCAGGCCAATTTCTTTGCAGGTCACCCAAATAGAAGACAGTAAAAACCTTACTATTCATCAACTAGCTATAAAGGTGAGCTCTGAGCAAGAACTTGACCTTGCAGAGTCTCCAAGGACGAGAAATTGTGTTCAAAAACTCTCCTATTTCTTTCTTCCCAGATATTCCACACAACAGCATGAATAATAGCTTTTTTATCAACATGGAAAGATTAATTTTATTAATAATTGAGAGGAAAAAAACAGATGCAGGATTACAAAAAGCAGATAACATAGGTGTTCCTTCACTATGTGTTACAACAAGGCCCAGAAAAGTTGTTGGCTGTAAACCCCCCGTTTTGCCAAAGAGGTCAGCCATCCCATTTGCAGACCTTCTGATCCATGTGAAAGAAGCATTGAGTTGCCTTGCTAGGCTTTCAATCTCACTGAAGGAGTATCTATATATCCAAGGAGCATTACCCCTGTTGTCAGACCAAGAGATCACCAGTTTTGAGTTGCCTTCAATCTCCAAATTTTTAAAATCTGCCTATTTGACAAGCTTCAGTCCCTGCAGTACTAGTAGCTCATCCTTTATCGAGTCACCTACCCCTATATATCCTGAATACAATGTCACCACTTTACTTGTTGAGTCTCTAAAGACACCACCAATGCCTACCAATAATGGGTATCCTATAGAGTTCCCATCAAAATTCAGCTTCAATTTGTTAGGAGCTGGGGACTTTCATTCCATCCATCCCCATCTTTTCTATCTTTTTAGAGGAATATGTGACTTCCTTCCAAGCCCGCAATATATCAGCCACTTTGGAACAGCTCAAGTGTTTTTATCGAATGTGCAACTTTTATCTTTATAGATTCCACCAGTTCTTCCTTGGATCTCATTAAGATTCTGCATTTCTCTCCTCCCATATAGTCCACATCAATGCTGCCCTAACTGATTTCCACATTGTTCTTCCCCTTTTGTCAGCTGCCTTTGTAAGTTTGGGTTGAAGAAGCTCACCACATATCTTGAGGTGTGTTCCATCTGCAACCAAAGAGGGAGCAAAAAGACTCCCAAAGAGAACAACAGGGCAATGGATCAACAAGTAGGGTAGGGATTCAGCATATGCATAACAAAGGCGGCACACATGAGGGGAGAGGCACTCATGTGGCCTCCTCTTTTGAAGAGGCTCACCAGCAATGAATAATAGCTTTCCAAACACATCTTTCTCTCTTACCCATGGTTTAAAGTATCAATACACCTCTGTGTATTGACAGGGGTGTATTAGTACTTTAAACTATGTGTGTTTTATTTTTTAAGTATTTTTTTCAAATTTTCATTTTTATAGATATTTTATATTATTTAATAAATAAAATAAAGAGTTTCCTTAAAACACCTTCAAATAGGTGCACCGAAACCCTCACAATACGATATGCCCGATACAAGGCATATCGTATCGACACTTTGAACCTTGCTCTTACCCAATTTGATCTTCAACCCTTTAAGAGCATATGAACCCCTCCACTGATTTGGGGTTGTCCAGCTGAAGCTGCCCCTAGCTAGGGTGTCAAGAAAAAACAATTTATCAGCAGGAAAATTTAAAAATTGAATTAATATGTGAAACAGAAATTATAGCAGAGTGATTATACAACCACCAAACAACATAGTGGACAATGATTCAAAGCCTGAGATGGAGAGAATTACAATAATGCCCAAAACATTTATTGCCTGAAGACCCTTTTTTTGCTAATGTGTCGGCCAAAACATTTGCAGTCCTCCTTACCCGAACAAAAGTAGCATTCAAATCTTTTGACATGCTATCTACTTCCCCAAGGACATTCCTATAAATCCAAGGCACATAGTGTCTAGAAATAGTCCAGGATACAACCAATTTTGAATCCCCTTCAACTTCCAAAGTCTTAAAGTTAGACTACTTAGCAAAACTTAGGCCTTGCAATAAAGCCATCAGTAAAGCCTTAAGAGAATCTCCAACCCCTATAGGTCTCGAATAAATAGCCATCACCTTGCTTGAAGTGTCTTCGAAAACACCTCCAATACCTACATTCCCCAATTTCCCATGGAGCTCCCTTCAAAATTTAGTTTCACTTTGTTTGTTGGAGGTTTCCAATCCAACACCACCTTTTTTCTTTCTCTTGAGAAGACTTTGCCACTTCATTCCACGCCCTTATTCTATCATTCACTACAAAGCTTTGGAACAGCTCAAGTGTTTGTATCCAATGTACAACCCTGATCTTTATAGTTTTTTTTTATCAATAAAAAATTCACTAATTCAATAAAAGAATAATTAGAAAGAGGAAGACAAACTTTCTTATCGTCCAATTACAATTTGAGCCCCCAAGAAAAGAAAAGAAAAAAGAGAAACAATAGAATTACATCTAAGCCCAAAACATTGATTCCCTCTCCACCCCTTGTTTAGCTAATCCATCAACAAAAGAATTAGCTGATCTTTTCACCCAAACAATCTTAACTTCCATCTCTCGCACCAGCCACTTAAATTTTCTCCTCACATAGTTGTAATTCCATAAGCCATTGTTGTCTTTGTTTAGCCACCCTACCACCACCTCCGAGTCCCCTTCAATTATGAGTTTTTTTATATTCATCTCCCTAGTTTTCTGGACTCCTTCCAACATTGCATAGATCTCAGTTCTGAGGGAGTCACCTACACCAATTGGGCCTGAGAACAAGGCAGAAACAACCCCATTCTCATTCCTAAAAACACCCCCAACCCCTGAGTTTCCAGGGTTCCCCCTACTACACCCATCAAAGTTTAGTTTTAAGAATCCAGCAGGTGGGGGGGTCCAAGACACACTCATTACTGTTTTGATTTGGGTATAGTTTGCAATCTCACCCCACTTTCTCAACATGTCATCCACTGTATAATCTTTGAATAGCTCTAGGGACTTCAGCCACTGTACAACCCTTATATGGATTAGAGCCCTCAGTTCTTCAGCACCTCTCTCTACTTCTGAGAAGATCCTGGAATTTCTTTCTTCCCATAATGACCAGCATACTACAGCCCTCAGTCCCCTCCACATAGTCCTTCCCCTTTTCTTACGCCACCTAAAAAAAGAAGGGGAGAAAAGACTTTGCAAGTTTGATGGAGGGTTCCAATTACACCCAAAGAGGGAGACAGACCACTCCCAAATCGATTTTGCGAATTGGCAAGACACCAGTAGGTGAAAACCAATCTCCCTACCAGCATTTCAGAGAACACACCAGTGAGGTGACAAACAAGTATTGGGTCTCTTCTTTTGGAGTAGATCACCAGAGTTGAACCTTTCCAAATAGGCTTCCCAGCAAAAACTACCAACCCTAAGAGGAATTGGTCTGCACCAAACCTAATTAACAGGGAAAGGGAGAGCTACAGGACTGGTGGACTAGCATAAGACTTTGAAGAAAGAAGCACATGAGAATGAGTCAATGGGTGTGTGGGTCCAGATTCTAGAGTCCACCTTAATAGAGTAAGAAAATATAATCAAGAAGTTCGAGGAGGCTCGAAATACTGTCGAGGTCTAAGTCCCTCACAGTCCTTCTTAGACCCAAATTCCACCCAAACCTAGAACTAGAAGAGGAAGGGGTAATGAAAGAAGAAACTGGCTCATTTTTTAAATCAAATAGAGCATACAAAGAAGGAAACTGTTCCTTAAGGGGGGCATTCCCCACCCAAGTTTGTTCCCAAAATTTTATGGTGTTACCTGAATTCAAATCATACCTAATAAGAGTGGAGAATACTGGCAACAAATATGAATGGCTTTCCAAGGTGAAGCACTTGTAGTCCTTGCTCGGATTCCAGCATCCCATCCATTTTGCTCCAACCCATGTATGCTTGCTACTATTCTAGCCCATAGTTTCTCCTGCTCCAATGGGAACCTCCACAACCACTTCCCCAGAAGGGCCATATTCCTTTTTCTAATGTTCCCAACCCCCAAACCACCACAGTTTTTACTCCTGGTCACCACCTCCCAACTCACCCTATAATCCCTCTTCTCCTCTCCTAGCTCCCAAAGGAAATCTCTCATCATCTTCTCCAATCTACTAGAAACCTTTGATGGGATTTTGATCATTGATAGGAAATAAATGGGTAAGTTTGCTAGAGTGGTCTTAATCAATGTAGTCCTCCCACCAAGAGAAAGGTAATTCTTTTCCCAAGAGACAAGTCTATTTTAAAATCTTTCCACCACCAGGTTCCAAAAGCTCTCTCTCTCTTGGGGTTATCACCTAATGGCAACCCTAGATGATTCAATGACCAGCCTAAGACTTCACACCCTAGCACTTCTGCACTATGCCTAATCTCTCCCTCCTCCAAATTCACACCCACTACAAAACTTTTCCCAAAGTTCACCTTCAAATTTGAAATTTGTTCAAAGAATTGTAACACCAATTTCATGTTCCTGATGAACCCCACATTACCTCCTTCACATAACAAAATCGTATCATCAACAAACTGTAAGTGGGTGAGGGGGGTTTCCTCCCTTCCAACTCTCCAGCCTCTAATTAGGCCCCTAGAGTCTGCTATATGAATCAATTTTCCCAAAACATCAGCAATTAGTGTGAACAAGAAGGGAGATAGGGGGTCTCCTTGTCTTATACCCCTACTGGCTAGAAAGAAATCTACCACTGTCCCATTCATTAGCATAGAGTAATGACAATTCCGAACACACCCCATAATCCATTTGCACCATCTAGCCCCAAAACCAAACTTGGTCATAACTTTCCTCAAAAATTCCCAATCCACCAAGTCATAAGCCTTTTCCAAATCCAACTTACAAACCACTCCATTCTTTCTCTCCATGAAATTCTCCACACTCTCATTAGCAATTAGGATTTGATCAGTAATTTGTCTTCCACTCACAAGAGCTCCTTGGTTTGGTGCAATGATGTCTGGCAATACTTCCTTCAGTCTCAAAGACAATACCTTTGCAATAATCTTGTACAAGCTATTTACCAAACCGATTGGCCTGAAATCCTTTGGATGGGATGCATCTTTCTTTTTTGGAACCAAAGCTATGAAAGTTTAATTCACACCTGGGTTAATAACCCTCTCCTATAGAACTCCTCAAACACCAACAGAAAGTCATCTTTCAAGATATCCCAACAGTCTTGATAAAAAGTCAATGTGAACCCATCCAGCCTTGGAACTTTTGTTCTATCCATAGAAAACACAGCCTACTTAATCTCTTCCAAATCAAACCTTCTTTCCATCCTTCTCCTGTTATCCCCCCCACATCTGGCTAGTCCAATTCTTCTACCCACATCCCTCTACTTACAGGCCTTCTTAGAATGGATTTAAAGTGTTCTACAAAAGCCCCAGCTATCTCCTCTTGTTTTGTTAACTCAACTCCATCCACTTCCAATTTGGAAATAAAATTTCTCCTTCTCCTTCCAATTGCCAAAGAGTGAAAAAACCTGGTATTTTTATCTCCCTCTTGCAACCATTTACATCGAGATTTTTGCCTCCGACTTATTTCCTCCTTATGTAGGCAATCCTCTAGTTGTTTTCTCAAACCTCTTCTTTGTTGCTTGTCTGCCTCTCCAAAATCTCCCCCTTATTCTTTAGAGTTAAGGCTCTCACATTGGTTCATCAGAGCTCCCTTTCTTTCTTCTAACCTTCCAAACTCCAATTGATTCCACTCCTTGATCTTTGCTTTCAAATATTGCAGTTTCTTGTAAAACCTCATCCCCACCCATTCTACCATTGGATTACACTCATTCCACCACTCCCTTACTCCTTTGGTAAACCCAGGATGGAGTAACCACATATTTTCAAATCTAAAAGGGGCAAGACCTCCACTCCTTTCCTCCTTGCATATCATTATTGGCCAATGATCAGAGCTCACTCTAGGAAGAGCTCTAGATGCTAAGTTCCCCCAATGTTCTTCCTAATCCAAAGAAAACAGAAACCTATCCAGCTTGGAGCAGATGGGACTAGATTGGAGATTTGACCAAGTAAATGTCTTATGGGCTAGAGGTATCTCTTTGAGTTCAAAGACATCCACAAACCTATTAAATTTCCTCATGCTAGTTGTCACCCTCTGATTAGTATCATTGGTTTCCTTCGTGAATCTGATCACATTGAAGTCCCCACGCACAAACCAAGGCCCATCCCATAGCCCTCTGACATCAACCAGTTCCTCCCATAATTCCTTTCTCTCTGTAGTCATTTGGTCCAAAAACATTTGTGAGCACCTACACATATCCATCCTCTTGCTGCTTAAACTTCATGGAAAATGAGTATTTTTTCCAATCAGTTCCTCCAGGCCTTCCACCACATCCCTCTTCCACAATGTCACTATCCCACCTGAAGCACCCCACAAGAGAGCAACCACCCAACTAATCCCCCTGGCTTTCCACACCCTCCTTGCCCATCTATTATCAAACTCAATTCTCTTGGACTCCTGTAATAGTATTGTGGGTCAAACCTCTTTAATACCTCTTTGATCATCGCTCTTTTTCTCGCACTTCCTATTCCCCTCACATTCCAACTAAGTATCTTCATGTTCACTTCTTCCTTCGATCCCTTCTTCACCTAACCACTACTTCCCCCCTTTTCCTTCTATCTACTTTCAGCACATTCAAATCCTCCATCCTACATCCCAACTTCCCCACAAATTCTGCTATCATGTCCTCTTTATTAGATTCCTCCATCACTGTCCTCTCTACATATTCCCCTCCAAAACTACACTCCTCTCCACTGATCCCTCCCCTCTTCTCTCCTCTCTATCCTTCCTCTATGTCATATTTTCTTCCACTTCACTAACGACTCTTTCAATAATTTCCCACACTTTCTCATTCCTATACCTTCCTTCCCACACCTCCCCACTGTTCTTCATTCCCTTCTCCATAAGCTTAGAAGACCCACCACCTTGGTTGGTTGCATATGCATGGGCTGCAAGACTTGGAACGGGAATGGAATCTGGAACAAAGGACACAGAAAACGCATTAGTAGCACAAACTGAACTCACTTGGTTACCTGGGTTTGACTAGAAGGTTGGAATAGGGCTATTTCTAGCCTCCCTGTCTTGTTCCAAAGGTTGGTAAATATCTATCTCCCTGAGTTGGTTGGAAAGCACTTCTGTCATTTGGTCAACATGGCAATCTTTCCTCTCTACCCCTGGTTCACCCCTTGCTGGTGTATTCCTGCTCTGCTTCTGGTTCTCCCGATTTACCCCTTCCTTTGCACCTTGCACATTCTGAAGTCTTGGGGGTGGATTATTCCCATTAATGTCTTCAGCCGTACTTGGTTCAAAATGTCCTGGTCTTCTTCCATCACCAGCCTGATCTTTCTGGTTGTTTGTTTCACACCTCCAATTTTCCCCTATATCACCTTGAAGTAGGCATGCAATGTTCAACATACCCATTTCGCCTGCTGCACCATATGTTTGACACTGT